ATTTGTAAAGTAAATAAAGTGCACCAAGTACCTGCTCTGAATAGTTTGATACCTTTTTAACCTTGACACTTAACATCTGAAGGAATCACTCTAAGCCTGATGACCTAATCACTCTCGCGGCAAAGCAAGCAGTGAGTGAGCAAGGTGACAGTTGGATGTTACGATACTTGCGGATGAATATCGATTTTTTTTTCTAGGAAAGAGAATATAGATATATATCGCAAAATCGATATTATTACACAGCCCTACAGTATATTATATATATATATATATATATATATATATATATATATATATATATATATATATTCAGAGAAAAGGGCATTACTACAGGAATTAGTATACCACATACCACAAGTCACATCTGCGTGACACAGATAAAGATGAAGGAAAACTAGCACAAAATAAGTAGTGCATAATGATGAACAAGGCATTCAGTCCACCTCCTACATGATTTATTAATATTTTCTTAACATAACCGAGTGAGCCAAAACACGTATACATGAAGTGAAAAGATAAATGAATAAAATTAATAAGAACAGAGTGAATGGTGAAGGGTGTTATTTACACTATTTGCTGTGTAACTGCCAAACAAGGTTAAGGACTTCCAGCTAACCAGTTTCACAAATCTGCCATTTTTATTTCTGGCAGCAATTTTGTCGTTCAAGTCCAATGATGCCGAAGCTACTAGTGGATAAGTCAGAATGTTGGGTTGATTGGTAGATTGACTCCCAGCAGTCCAGCTTGATGGATTTGAGTGGTCAATTCCATCTTATCAATGGACTACAGAAGCCAGACTAATGCAAAAAAATGTTTTTCACTAAAAATCAAATTCCTATAAGCAGGAAATTCAATTAATCTCTAAAATTGATTTATTGCCTTGTGTTCATGTCAAAGAACAACATGGCCATCGAGACATGGCCGTAAATTTTCATAATGATGTCCCATGACTGAAACCTCCAACGTTACATGAACAGTTGAAGCGTTGTAGACCAGCGGTGCTGATTCAGGATGACAGCAGGTTCTTCATTAACAGTCATTTAGTCAGAGCAAAAACAGCAGGTCCAACACTGACACGGACGTTTTAGAGATAAAAGGTCAACCAGTGTGACTGAACCAGCTCTGGATGAGCTTCTCTAGCATTCAGTTGTAGTCTAATCCTTTCTGAGGACGTCCAGCCTCATCTCCGCTGTTCCACCTCTTCCAGATCATGTGCCGTTGCACCACCGCTCTGGAGAATTCAGTGAAAGAGAAGATCTCCATGTTCTGCCATGTAGAGCCTCAACAGGTAGGTGGAGCGCTACGGCCTGAGTCTCTGTGTTCCTCTACGGTTCTAAACCTCTCCTGTCTCCGTCTCTGCAGGTCATCTGCGTCCATGACGTCTCGTCCATTTACAGAGTCCCCCTTCTGCTGGAGGATCAGGGCGTGGTGGGCTACCTGAGCAGCCGACTCAACATGCCCATCGAGACCAAGTCCAGGACCATGCTCACCAAGTGGAAGGAGATGTCAGACAGGTGGGCAGTGGGGGGTTCTGGAGGAGTCTGGGTCACTGTTCCTCAGTGAGTCGGGTGGTATGCTGATGCTGATGGTGTGGTTGCAGGTCCGACAGACTGCTGGAGCAGTGTTCCATAGCTCTGGTGGGGAAGTACACCAAGTTCTCAGATTCCTATGCTTCGGTTATTAAGGCTCTGGAACATTCTGCTCTGGCCATCAGCCACAGACTGGAGGTTAAGGTGAGCCTGTCATCACATGAGGCTGATGTGTTCACTTAAAGTTTAGATGTTTGCACTGGTTGGCTCAAATGCATGGATATCATGAAGCTTACTGTATTCAAACACACTAGTGAGGATAGTTTAATCTTTAGTCAGAAAAGTTTCCTCTCACTCCTGTGCTGCGTTCCAGCTAGTTGGGAAGTTGGAACTCTGAGCTGGGTTCAGGTTGATCGTCCCAGTTCTGACTACAGCTGGATCGCAGCATCAGATTGATGTTGAGGTGAACATGGCGCCCCATTTTGGCTCCAAGTTCGTAGGAATTGGTCAAGGATCAAAAGTCAAATCAAATAAAGTATATTTGATTGAATTGGATTTTCCTAGAGCCTGCTGTAAAACATCTCACACAGCCCCTCATTGTTGCACCTGATATTTCAATCCCAGCCTGGACTGTTGTCTAAATGGCGCCTCTTGTTTTCAGTACATTGATTCGGCGTCTCTGGAGCCAGCCACCCTGCAGGAGGAACCAGTGAAGTACCACGACGCATGGCAGAAACTCTGCAGTGCTGAGTGAGTTTCCTGTTTCATCTGCAGTCCACACAGCTTCCAAGTTTAAAGGACGCACATTTAACGTCCTCCTGTGTTTAGTGGCGTTCTTGTTCCGGGGGGTTTCGGTGTTAGAGGAACTGAGGGGAAGATTCACGCCATCAACTGGGCAAGGAAGCAGAGGAAACCCTTCCTAGGTGAGAGGTCACTGACTGACTGGACCATCCTGTGTCGCTGATTTATTAGAACCAAACGCATTGAACTCTGACTGGTTGTTCCTCTGCAGGCGTCTGTCTTGGAATGCAGCTGGCTGTGTGTGAATATGCCAGGAACGTGCTGGGCTGGCCAGGTATGACTGGTGGTGTCACATTTTATAAAGTCAAACTTTTAACCAACCTAGATGGCAACTAACCCAATAAGCTCTCATTCTATGTGACTTGTAGATGCTAACTCCACTGAGTTCGACCCAGAGTCAAAACATCCTGTGGTGGGTCTTCCTCCTGTTCAGCAGTAATCTCTGGCTGCCTCGCCTCCTGTGAATAGGACTAATTGTTGGCTGTCATGTTCTCAGGTGATCGACATGCCAGAGCACAACCCTGGGCAGATGGGCGGAACCATGAGGCTGGGGAAGAGGCGGACCATTTTCAAAACCAGCAACAGCATTATGCGTAGGGAGCCTCTAATTACTCGTTGTCGGGTAGCTGATTATTGCTGCTGTTGCTAATGACTGCTCTGTCTTCTAGGGAAACTTTATGGAGACGCAGAATATGTGGAGGAGAGGCACAGACATCGCTTTGAGGTAAAAACCACAGCAGTTTTATTGTACTATGTCTTTTCTATGAGGTGGAGTAGCTGTTTGGCCTTTACCAGCTGCTGTACTCTGGTGGTCAGCTGGCTGAAAGAAGGCTAAAGGTGCATTCACACCAGCCCTGTTTGCTTAGATCGTCCAGTTGGTTTGGGGAGGTGTGAATGTGTAACCAAACTCTGATGAAAACCAAAAAAGTGAACTCTGGTCCGCCAACAAACCTACATGTGGGTTTGGTTGAAGTGAACTCTGGGGTGGTTCTAATGTATAAGTGGACCGCTCCAAAGCAGGAAGTGAGCTTCAGTGCAGAGCATTCTGGGTAAATGACAAGCAATGCAAATGTGCCAGTCTAGTGCTAGCAGGAGAAATGGCTCAATGTCTTTTACCAAAGACGAAAGAAAAATTCTGCAGCTGCTAGTACCTGATGCCACTCTGTTTTTGTTTACGCTGTACTCGGTGTCTTCACTGATCGGAACGTCTAGTTGTTGCACCATTGGTTCTTGGTGCAGCGCCACCACAGGTAAGGAGGTAAGTTTTGGTTAACTACACCACCTGAAAATGTAACAAATGTTACAATTATGGTCTCCAGTCAAGCAGAGTTTACCAGACTTTCAAGGGTGACACCCTTATGCTACATCCACACAGTAGATCTTGATGCTCAATTCTGATTTATTTATTTATTTTTTTGTCATGGTTGTTCATGCTGCTGCCTCAATTCAACCGCAGTCAGACTTCTGCTTGAACAGTTTGACCTCAAAGCAACCCACGTGCAGAAGATTGTAGATGACACACTGCTTATGGAAGTAATGTTGGAAGGAGCCTTTTATGGATCAGTTTTAATTATTCAGAGACAACTGTATTCTCACAACATCGTAAGACAAAGGGAGCTGATAGAAAATGTAGGCGATGGCCTTTTATAGAGCACTGCTTCTGTAGAGAAGTCTGGTTGTGGAGTTGGAGCCAGGACTGGAGGGATTGTGATATGCTTCACTGACAGACTGCTTTCATACTTGCATAATTTTCAGCCATAGTTTCCATCCAGATTTACCACGTCTGGCTTATTCTGACACACGTCTCGCATCGGTGACATAAGTCGGATAAAATGCGACTTTTGTCTTTGAACGTTGAAATTGCAGACACTTTGAGCAATCTGAATGGTCAGGTGGAAACTTGCCCAATCTGGAAACACTGTCTATAAACAGAATAGACAGTTTAATAGAGTGATATTCTATTAAATAAGCACTTAAATTGCCCATTAGTTTTGACAGTACACTGTCTTGTTTTAAGGTAAACCCTGAGCTAAAGAGTCACTTTGAAGACAAAGGCTTCCACTTCGTTGGACAGGATGTGGAAGGAGAGCGGATGGAGATCATAGAACTTGACGGTAAAACCTAAAACTTGTTGGGTCAGCTCCAGCTGTCTGGTTCCAGGTTCTAATAGCTTGGGTCTTCCAGATCACCCGTACTTCGTTGGAGTGCAGTACCACCCAGAGTTCACGTCTCGGCCCATCAAGCCGTCTCCTCCGTACCTGGGTCTGCTGCTGGCAGCTGCAGGGAAGCTCCAGGGTTATCTACAGAAAGGCTGCCGGCTGTCTCTGCGGTAACCCCACAACTTTTCTGCTCATTTGAAAGGAAAAATAAGCTTGCATTCTGAAAGTGTGTTGTTTCCAGGGACGTGTACAGCGACAGGAGTGGCAGCAGCACCCCGGACTCTGAAATAGAGATTCCCACTTGTTACTGATCCTGCATGAATTTCAATACTGGCTGTGCTGTGAGCTGTGGCAGCTGCTTTTAGTGTGAACTCTGTATGAATTGGTCAATAAACTCATCCAGTACTGGAGTGATTCACCTGTCCTCCTGTGGCCTTACTGTAAATATTGCTACACATGTTTCTGTACATCTTTAAAGCATGTAGAGATTCAAATAAATGGACATATTAAGTATTTTCAGTGGTTTTTATTCCAACCCAACAGCTGACAGTTTTACAGCATCAGTTTCACAATCATTTGTCATGGATTCTTTGCACACATTCTCATCAAGCAGCAGCTTTCTGAACTCCTGGCCTGCAGCTGGTCTCCATGGTGATCTTCTCACACCAACATCTGAAACAGTCATTTTTAGTTTTGGTAAACAGTATCATCTAAATGCACTAATCATCAAGTCTGATCTCAGTCCCATATCCGCAAGCTTCATCCAACAGTCTGCTCACTTTAGAGTCATCATAGACCAGACATTACGTTAGGGTTTGGTTCATACCTTTAGAGGGCAGAGCTAGCGCTCACTTCCCAGTCAACCTGTACACCAACATTTACCCCTTCTGAAAAAGAGTGAAGAAGAGTCAGTGGTTCTGACCCGTCTACTGACCTGTAGGACGGTTGAGTGGCTGCTGGAGGCAGAGGGGCCTCAGCAGTCAAAGACCACCCAATGTTCTCGCATGCATTTGGAGAACCATGAGCCACATGTAGCTCAGATCCTTAGGATAGCATGCTGCTGTGTTAGCCAAAGGCTGCAGAGCTGAGAAACATTACCTGGATCGTACAGTCTCCATCCAGTTCATGTCCATGTCACCCAGGGTCATCACCTAAACACAAACCACTTAGATCAGCTTTTTAATAAATCACACTTCCATGTGTTTTGTGAGACTTAAGGCTCAGTAAACAAAAACTCAGTCAGATCAATACTCAGTGAGGGCAAGTTTATCATCACAGCCTGGACTGTCAGCCAGAGCAGCTGGTTCTGGGGCTCACCTGGACCTGCATGTGGTTCCCCCAGCGCTGACCGAGACCTGATCAGAACGGAAATATGACGTCACAATCTGACCTCTACACATACCATGTGTCCTTTCCCTAAATGTTGCTGGAGCAGTTACTATTCAACTGAACAGCGACCGTCGGTGAAAGATTTCATCTGGGCTTCCTGTTGACCGGCCGCTGCTACAGCAGAGCACGACCGGCTTCGATAGGAGCCTGAGTGTTGGACCGGGTTGAGCGACTGCCGTGCAGAACGTACCTGCGTCCTGGGTTCAGATCCATAACTGCAGAGACGGCAAAGACTGGAAGCTGCAGGTAGAGCACAACCGTCAGATCAGGCTAGTTCCACATGCTAATCCTGACGATTACAGCAACACTGCAGATAAACTTTGAATTTAACGACTTAAACTGAAGGTGTGCTGAGGATTGGTAATGAATAAGGGGTTTTGGTCGGGTACCGGAACTGGTAAACGGATCTGGTTGTTGCACGGCAGGGAAAATGAGTGAAGCACGACACCTCCTCGCGTGAGGAATGAGCAGGCCGGAGCACGTGGGTCAATGTTAGCAGTCATGCTATAGCTAACTTTAAATTAGCTACGCTAAACATGTCTAATCTCTGTTCAGACCTCGATTGCAATATTTATAAATACAGATGAGAATAAAACTTTAAAATGCAACACACTCTACAACAGTGAGGTAGCTTCTTCTGCTAGCTCTACCCATCTTGTTCATTAGCTAGCCGCCTGCGCTCAACAGTTAAACACACTTAATCAACTAGTTGCTTTTTAAAGTTCAGTATAATGTTAGCTAAACTCAACAAGGTCTTACCAGATCTACAGAACCGCTGCTGCTTCTTCTTCTGATTTTACTACTGCACTACTTCTTTCGGGAGATTCTCAAGAAGAAGGAAACGCGCCACCTCCTCTGCTTTTATACAGGCTGTAGTCTCTAACTGATTGGTCTTTGTAGGTCACATGACCCAGAGGCATCATGGGATATGTGTTTTTCTTTGAATTTATCAAATAGCTGTCTTCCTGAAGGTACCTGCTAATCACACCAGTGAAACGAATAGTTTGGGCGCAGGGATACCTACGCACCAGTTGAATTAACTTATAATATTAGTTGTTGACAGAATTAGGGGAATAAACAAAGCTAAAGCTGTGTCAGATAGTCAAGTTCCATTACTTGATCTACTACTTAGAATATCATATTGTTCCACCTATATCATAAGAACAGTTTTAATCTATTTGTCTGGATTCCTGCTCGTGTATAGACAGAAATGCAGAAGTAGATAGATAAGCGAAAAAGGCCCTGAAGTATGTTATTAAATTAGACATTCCTCTGAGCATGTGAGGGAAAAATCTATCTGTTGTTTAAAACAAAAATAATTAGGATGTGGCAGGAACAACGGGGTAATAATGACACCTGTAGCAAATAACATCCAAAAGACTGTGAGGGTTGATAGTTGTAGGAATGGAAGTTGGAGAGAAGAAGTAATAACATAACGTCTGAGTGCTGGCCGTATGGGGTTCTGTTGTTCTTAAAGGGAAACATCAAATGGGGGCTTGTAATTATTGTAATCAGTTAGAAACAGCAGAGCACGAAGACATAAACAGAGGAACATCAATGTTTAAAATCAGTTCTAAGAAGAGAGAAAAAAAAGTACTTTTATTACCCATATTTTTCTTATTTTTCCTATTTCCTCTGCAAGGCGGCGCCTGTTGGGCAGCGATGCCTCAGCCAACTATCCCCTCTCTCCCACTTCCCATGTGGGATGGATGGTTGTGCTGGAACTGCAATTTCGTTGTCTTTCTGACAATGACAATAAAATAATTCTGATTCTGATATTTATTATCCTTATTAGAAGATGTGTCAAACTCTAGTCCTATAAGGAATCCATTAATATTCATTTAATTGTATTAAATGAAAAACAATTATTAAAAACAGAAACCAAAGAAATCACATTTACTCTAAGTATATGCAGACATGTTGATCTCCTCTGGCAGCTTTAACAGCCTCCAGTCTGAACCTGCAGCCTCCAGCTCAGCCTCCTCTCTTTAGGCTGTTTGCTCCGTTCTTCTCCATCAGGTTGGATGGAGACGTCTGTCAGCCATGTTCACCTCTCTCCAGAGATGTCAATCAGATTCATGTCTGGACTCTGGTTTGGCCCCTTCAGGACGTTCACAGATTGGTTCTGAAGCCTTTCAGATCTGGATCATGTGCTTTGGGTTGAAATGTCGCCCCAGTCTGAGGTCAGGATGCTCTGCAGTGGGTTTTCATCCAGGATGTTTCTGGCGCTCACACCAGACAGTTCAACTTTTGTCTCATCAGACCAGTGAATCTTGTTTGTCCTGGTCTGAGATCCTTCAGGTGCTGTTTAGTGAACTCCAGACTGGTTGCCATGACACTTTTATTGAGTGGCTCTCTGGCCACAGAACATGTTGTCCTTCTGGAAGTTTCTCCTCTCTCCATAGAGGAACACTGCAGCTCTGACAGAGTGACCATCAGGTTCTTGGCCTCCTGACCTGATGGCTCAGTTCAGAAGGCAGCGGCTCCAGGAAGAGTCCTGCTGGTTCCAGACTTCCTCCAACTGACCAACAATGGAGGTCACTCAGCTCACCAAGCAGAAACTGGACTTTCCAAATAATAAAACACAGCAGTATAAGGTATCGCCAACATTTATTGCCAGTAATAGTTCGATCTGCACGTGACCACCAGAGCAGTTTTAATCTGGGGGTGACATCAGTCTTCAGGACCGCGGACAGCTCCGGCTCTGAGCTCAGAGGTTTACCAGCAGAGGGGGAATAAAGATAAAGCAGTGTTAGCATCATGCTACAGGCTGCAGCTGGTTAATACTTCATTAATACGCTTTGTTAACAAGCCGCCTGGCTCGTTCCGTCCCTGCTCCTGTTTCCGGTCTGTGTCTGTGGAGTGGAGCAGAGGTAAAGCTGTCACATGATTGCTGCGGCCGCTCAGCAGCAGCAGCAGCCGGAGCTCCGTGGAAAACACACGGCTTTGTTTCCCACCCAGCACCCTCCCCCCCACCCGACACACACACAACACCTCCTCCACCGCCGCATCTCTGCCTCTAGTCATGCCATGGATACTTTGTGGCAATACCAGTTCCGAATCATCCTGCTGGGGGACTCCACCGTGGGGAAGTCGTCGCTGCTGAAGCGCTTCACGGATGGGATTTACAGCGACGTGGCGGATCCCACGGTCGGGGTGGATTTCTACGCCCGCTCGCTGGACATCGAGCCCGGGGTGAAAATCAAGCTGCAGCTCTGGGACACGGCCGGACAGGAGCGGTTCAGGTACGACGGGGATCAGATCTGATGTGAATGCTGAGCCGCGACGCAGCAGCCATCATGAGCCAGGTTTAGGTTCGATAATGCGGGCCTGTGTGTGGCAGCTCGCCCTGTGTGTCATTTTTCACCCAGACCGTTCCTCTGCCTCGGTGTGGAGAATCATAACGAGGCTGTGATGACAGACGGCCCGGCCGGGGGAACAGCAGCAGACACGCAGCATTTCATTCGCGGATAATGGGGAGTCTCCTCTTATTTAGGCCGCGGGTTGAATCCCCATCATCCAGTCCCACGGTCTCCAGGGCAACGCCAAAGTCAGAGCTAATCTAGATTTGTGTAACTATTGTAGCAGTCAGCCAGCTGTTGCTGCTTGTGATGCTTGCTGGGCTGTCGGACAGAAATGACTCTGTTTTTAAGAAGCAGCTCCGCTCTTAGATCTGCTTTTCCTTTTGAAGGTGTTTCCCATCAGGCTTCACTCCGCTCAAGGATTCCTCTCGGTTTTGATTTTTTTTTTCTTTTCATGTAATGTAGTTCACCCAGAAAAACCAGAATTCATGTTGTTTGTTTTCCAGAACTCCTCATGTGGCAGTTTTAGCTTCACCTGCGATTCTGTAAAAAAAACAAACAAAATAAATCTCATATTAAGCACCTTTTGCTGTGCAATTATTAATCAGTTAATCAAAAGAATACTCCTCAGCAGAAAGGCCTGAGATTTTCACATGTTGATGTTAGGATGGTTGTTTTAGCTGCAGATGTATCTTTTGCTACAAAAGGAATGCTGCTATTAATTTTTAGTCAAAAAAAGTTTTTCTTATTTAAAAAAAGAAATTGAACTGTTTGTTTATTTGCATCTTTCCAGGCATTCCTTGTATTGTATTTTTTTAAAAAAGGCTGACGTGGTTAAATGAAAAACAAAATCTGTAGTAAGTAACAATTTTTCATCTGGTTAACTGATTAATTATCAGCATAATCAGTTACTAACATAATCATTAGTTGCAGCTTTGGTAAAAATATTTTTATTCTCCGTCCAATCTGCCTGAGCCGGAGTTCTCAGACAGGATAGGTTCAAAGGTCAGTCTGCAGATGTTCACAGCTGGTAGAGTCAGAGCGGTAGTTCAGAGGAAGGTTCCTCTGTAAGGTGCTGCTTCTTGGAAAGGCTGAGTACAAATGCAAGCCACAATTCTGAAATTTATTATATGAGAGAAATGTTGAGACTACATCTCATTTTCCTTCCACTGTCATAAAATCTCAATAAAACAAACTATAATCTCTGGTTATAATGTGACAAATTGTTGTCAAAGTTCAGCCCAGAAACAAAAATGTCATTGTCTTTTTTCCCCTCACACTAATTAATATTATAGGGAGACAAATCTTTGTTGTTTTTTTTTCTAAATTATGTCCCTAAATTCATCATAATATATTTCCAGAACGTCTGGATGTGAATTTTAAAAGCAGATGCCGTTTTGATTGGGTGGTCTACATGTGGACATGCCCATGCTGACCTTGTGACCTCACCTGGTCATCACACATCCTGTACATCATGATTCACTCCTGCTATAGGACCAATGCTTTCACACAACAGCCCTGCTCTCCTTCCGCACAGTAAATAGTGTGTGGTTATGCAACATACACACACACACAGAAGAGCTGGGTGCAGTCCTCTGAAAGAGCTAACGGTTCGTAAATGTTTTAGTTATAGACAAGCAGGAGTTAGCAGAAAAAAAATGCTCCAAATATTTGGAGAACATTCCCAGTTTTCCCCAAAACAAGCTGCAGTTCTGAAATGTACTTTTGAGTTTCTGCATGTAAGGATCAGAGCAGCAATGACCTGTAAAATGAGAATAACTTCCACCTCTTAATGCTAATCTGCTAATGTTGGGAAAATATAACAGCAAGAACATGGAAATATAGAATATGGAAAAACATGTTTTTCAGTTAGTGGAGTCCACTGCAGAACATCTGCCATAGGTGTAATTAAAGTAGGGAATCCTAGTGGAGGGAACCATCCATCCATCCATCCATCCATCCATCCATCCATCCATCCATCCATTTTCTTACACCCTTGTCCCTTAATGGGGTCAGGAGAGGTGCTGGTGCCTACCTCCAGTGAACGTTTCGGGCGAGAGGCGGGGTCACCTGGACAGGTCACCAGTCTGTCGCAGGGCATGGAGGTAACTAACTAACTAAAAATAAGGATTTTTAGTTAGTTAGCTGACTTTGTCCAGACTAGTTTTAGACCCACAAATGCATTAGCATACCTACTGATGTCATTCTTAAACTATGAACCGTGGTAGTGTTGCATTTAGCATAGCACAACTGCTGCCATCTTACATTGTGTAAATGCTGACTCAGTAATCACTATAAATATCAGGAATACAGACTAGGAAGCTGCCGAGAGCTGGACCATGCCATAATGAAACTCTGGTGAAGTCACACATACCGCATGTAGTGTTACCATGACAGCCAGTTCAGATGGTACAGCAGATGGCATTCACCCAGTTGAACTACACACTGTTATGATTTGCTTATCTCGGTGAATGTGCTTTTGTTGTTTTATTTTCAAAATTGAACCCACTGGAAAAGCTTGCAGCACAATTACCTAGTATTAACAGCTGGCCATAGAGTGACTTTGACCCTGTTTTAAAATCAGTGTCTCCATAACAACCTGTAGAAACTTTAGATCCTACATTCATGGGTGTGTGTCCACTCTGTAGTGGTGCTCGGTGTGTGTCTGTCTGGGTCAATCAAGTTTGCTTCTTGCTGAATTAGAGGTCTCAGTTGAAATCTGTTTTTTTTTCTCCATTTTCTGTTTTCCTACCAGAACATTACTTTTGCTTTGCGTCCTGATAACCAGGAAAGGCTAAAAGTTATGGAGTATGTGTGAGGATGTTAATTTTACGTCAAAAAGAAAAGACTCTTTCTTTGTTAAATTTATTCAATTTTGTTTATTTACTGTATAATGTGCTGGTTCAAAAGAAGCATTGTCTGAAGGTACTTTACAAAGTAAAGCCAATTAAATCCAGTCATACAGGCAGAATGACTGGACCAAGTACATATATTTCAACTGATCCTAGTTATCAGTGTCATCAAGTTCAGTTTATTATTCAAATTTGTAAAATTAATTTTGTCAAAGAAAACTCAGCAGATTATCGACTTGTAGCGTTCACTCCTCCTGGACTTTCATGTAGAGTTGAGTCATTGACTGCAGCAATCCTTCATACTGAGAATGTATACGTAGTGACAGTAGAGAGGAAAAACTCTCCTTTAACAGGAAGAAACCTCCAGCAGCACCAGAACCAGGCTCAGTGCGAGAGGGCATCTGTCCCGACCGACTGGGAGTAAACATAAATGACCTGGTTTCAGACCAGCGGAATAGAAAAAGATACGAAAAGAAGACTGAGTCCACAAAAACCTATCAGAAAAAGCAATGCCAGAACCTTTATGTAGAAAAAAAACTCCACTAACCCACAGTGTAAACAAAGATTTTATTTCTTAATATAGATTATTTTCCCCACTGAATAAACATTCTCTATTTAGAGGTTGGATTTTTCAAAGTTTGTCAGTGTGAGATCATACCGTCTTTATCAGAGCTGATTAAGAATTTCCTTTGAAACCCACACAACACAGGCTGATTAAATCTTTTCATGTAGACCTTATAAAATGACTTCCAAAATCTATTTTACATCATCAGCTTGTCTCTAATGATGATGTAAAATATTGAGGGACTGGTGTGATCTCAACCAGCTCTAGACTGACTCAACACTTGATCTGACAAGAACTTTAACCTTGAATCGGATTGTATTTGGACTTGTTTGGAGAACCTCAGAAGAGACATCAATCTCAGACCTACACTAAAAGCAGGATTGCTAGTGCAGGAATTGTATGTCTCTGAAGAAATGGAGCTTAGGAAACTTTTGACGTGAATTCTGCACAACTTTAATTTGTCTATTACTAGACAATGTAACTTTTTTTTTTCAATTTCCCTAAACCCCCTATCTCAAATTTCTCAGACTTTCTTTCACTCATTTTAGGAGAATGGCCAGTCATTTTCTAGAGCACACCAACATAAGCTCTGCTTTGATGAAGAATACATTTGTTCTGAGTTATGAATTTATCAATAATTTCTTTTTTCCCTAGGTCTATCACAACATCATACTACCGCAACTCTGTTGGGGGACTGCTAGTCTTTGACCTCACCAACCGCAAGACCTTTGACCATGTGAAAGAATGGCACAAGGAGGTGAGCGAGCACATCCTTCCCCACCACATGGTCTACATTCTCATCGGCCACAAGAGCGACCTCAACAAGGACCGCAAGGTGAGCCGGGATGAGGCCGAGCAGCTAGCCGCCGATCTGGGAATCCGCTACATCGAGACGTCGGCTAAGTGCAACAGCAATGTGGACCGGGCGTTCGAGCTGCTGACCAGAGATATCTTCGAGCTGATGAAGATGGGGGAGATCGTTACCCGTGATGGCTGGGATGGCGTTAAAAGTGGCCTCACTGCAAAGGTCCTCTACCCGGGCGACGACGAAGAGGATCTTGCGACTGCTTCCCCAGAGAAGGGCTGCCACTGCTAACTGTTGATTCTTTGTGTTCATAAACTGTCCCATCGCACTGAGATCTCACCTCGTCTTGCGGCCGTCCATAGAAACCAGACCACTCTGGGTCAGCACCCTGTGATGTAGCCACTGTTCCTTCCTTACTTTGTGACTTGTGCCCTTGTCTTTGTTTGGGTCATTCTAAGAGCTGGGATTATTGCCAGGAAATGTGCATTCCAGTCTTATTGGCAGGTGGAATCTATGTAGTGAGGCATAACACCAGGTGCATAGAGCCTTACCCAATGTGAAAAACAGAACCTAGCCATATGCCCTTCTCTCAGTACAGGAGCAAACGGACTTATGATTGTAAGGTCTACCTGTCAAAGTTCGTGCAATGTTTTGCCTACACTCTGTTGTAACTCTCATAGATAATAAAAACTATAGAGATGGTGTGCAAAGAGATCACAGGAAGCTGTTGGAGTTGATAGTGTAAAGACACACAGCATACTGCAATAAGTGTAAATCAGTGTGCTGCTCCTCCTGTTATTGTAAACTGTGTGCACTAACACCAAACTGATTTTAAACCTTTAATCATCTTGTAAATAGATGCATACCATCAGAATCTGAGGATATTTGTAGTTAAGATGTTTACATACAGATAGACCATGGTACTAAGATTAGTGGTTCCATTTAAGGCATCTGTAAATAACACTAGTAATAAGATGGACACTAGAGGTGTTAATGTCTCACTAAGAATTGCTTGAATTGGTAAAGGAAAATAATTTCTTATTTTTTTTTCTATAAGCATTCACTCACTTAGGGTAACATTGATAAAACTGTAACAGCTTTATTGGGAAAGATGACACTGAGAGAAAACTGGAATCATGGGAAAATTGTGAGAGATGCTGTGAGACTAGTTGTTCCCACCCACTGTGTTAACTGGGAAAAACTGAAGGTTTGGAACGATTTTCTGACCAGTTTCATCTTACAAAAACACAAGAGTAAGTAACTCAAACAAAAACTTCTTCAGCTCTCTTTTAAGCCCTTTCTGAAAGTCACAGTTGAAAGCGAATGGCTTTATAGGGTGTAGTAACTTCAACTTTCCAAGTGGAGGCACTGACAGTGTTAGGTGGGTGAATTCCTCATTAGGCTTCTCCCCTTCACACCCTCAGTGAAACTTGTTTTCTGTCACTTGTTACATGACTACAAAACTTTTCCTTGCTCTACTTATTTTTAAAGTTTTTCTTTCAACCATCATAAAATTAGCACATCTTTTGCAACATTCAAGTTGTAAGTCAAATCTTACAGCGTAGAGATTAGATATCTTCTGTGGGTGGATCTACACAGAAGATACTGGACAGCTATTGCATAACTAGCTTCTACTGAACCGCTCTTCTCACAGGAATAACATCACGCAAAGTACATAAAAAGCTGTTATTGTTTCAGCTTTGCATTCTAACAAAAAACATGCTTTAGGAGCCGTGAAAACTGTAGATCTGAAAAGGTCTTTCAGTGCCAACCTGGTGTTTCCCTTTATGCCACCTTTGAGTTTTCATGTCGATAACCACAAAACATTTAGCTAAAGACCCTGACGTCATTACCCCAGCTCTAACGCAACTCTCAACCTCAAGAACATAAACATGTGACCTTCAGGTTCATTCCTCTGTTTTGGGTGTTTTTTGTCATGGCGGTGTTGCACTGCCGCCTGCAGGTCTGGCATGGTTACTGCAGTGTTTTAGATAATTTTCATGACTTGAAATAATGTCATGTTCATCAGATTTTTTTTTAAATCAACCTATATCTTGATAAGGTCTAAGATAATATTTGATGGTTCATTCAGGTCTTTGTCAGTGACTGCTATTCTGAGCTATTCTTTGAACTTGCTTGCGTTTGAAAGTGATTGGTGCATGTTTCCAAACAAAAGTCTGTCCACTGTGTTCTTCCTTTTAGTTTGATGGTCTATCTAACAATGACTTTTATGGGATCAATTATTTTAACTTTAGCTTTAAGATAACATATTAGCCAGCCAGCTACCAAATGAAAAGGGTTGTTTTCTACTGCTTTTTGTCTTTTGCAGACTTCTGATATATGACAAATAAGTGTGCTAGTATACTTCTGGGTCAATGTCTCCATGTGTGAAGCCCAGGTAAGATGTCTCTGCTTCAATTCTTCAAGGTAAAACAGACAAGAAGCTTTCTTATAGTGTGAAGTGAACACATTCATCTTGTTAAATCTTGCAAGAGGAAAAATTTAAATGTTTCATCAACATTTGAAATTGTTACTATTAATGTATTCTCAAAATTCTCAAAACCCAAACTGTGTCTCATTAGTCAAGAGAGAAGATTATTTTTGCACCTTAATTGTAGAAAAAATATGTATTTGTTGGGATTCTAAATTATATTCTAAAGTATATAAACTTACTACTAAAGTTACTAGAGGTGAACCAATCACTCAGCCCTGATTTCCCTCATTTTCAGAGATCAGTGATCGGCTGATACTTACATATGAAGCTGATGTTGTCCTCTGATCTTATCTACCTGGGTAAAGGTCTAAAAATCAGTCACTGTTCTCTTACTCTGCCACAAGAGAGGTTTGACTGTCAGACTGACCCACCATATCATGTCTGCATGTTTGCAGTTAAGAATAGTTACTTTACTGTTGCCAACTCAGCGACTTTCTTGCTATTAGAATTCCCAGGTCATTGGCAATCTGCGACCAGCAAGAAAACTGCAATCGGTGCATCCCTAAAAGTAACCCAAAACTCATGACTAATTTAGCCACCACACTTCCTTCTACAATGCCATACTTAGCGAAGAGTGAAATGTAATTATAACAAAGCATGACATGCAGTCTTCCCAGGTTTCAGAATTCTTTTGGACTAAAGAGGTTTTAAACAGCCTGATAACCCAGAACTCTTAGGAATTCACTCGTCTTCACCACCTACTAAACCTCCACCACCAAACACAAGATTGCCAGACATTTATTCTGTTCTATAATATAGAATATTTAGTTAATTCAGCATACAATATGTGTTATAGCACAGTGTAATATAAGGACGATAGTATGCTACATCTGCAGCATCCCTTTATTTTTTACTCTTACACTCAAATTCACTTTTCTATATATTTTTGTTCATGCATATTATATACAGTATATATGTTCTGAGTGCACAGGAAGACTTTATCTTACAGGTTCTTTGCCTTGATAGATTCAATTTAAATGAGTATTTCTGACTATGCTCCAGTTATTACCTTTTTCCTTGTCTCCTCCTTTATACAGGGTCAAGCTGCTCATGATGAATAACATGCTGTCATTCTTTACTGACTCCATCGTTTCAGTCTGCTGCTCTTTTTACCCAACTTTTCAATTTATTAACCACAGTAGATAAAGATCATGCCTTTTTAACTTCGAAGGATGATCAAATATTATTTCTGAAAGACTTCATTTTTGAATCAAATGCCTCTTTAGCCACCAATGGGAATCAACTAAGAGTAACATTGAAAATAACGTCTCAAGTCATATTACTATATTAGGTGTGATGTAGGCGATGCAAATCATTGTCACTTTCCACTGCAAACCCAGCTTCTTTTGTCACGTAATATGTAGAAATAAGTTACGTTTTTACAGAAATCTGCATGTTTGGCTTTGAAATGTGATCGGAGAATATTGTTGCCACTCATACGTATGTGTGGGGGTTGAATCTAGAGCTAGAGGCAGCCTTACTTTGCAGCATGTATACTAAGTCCAAGGACGAGTACTGGAGAAAAAGTTGGAAAAGCATCTGCTAAGCCATGCTAGTTAGGTTTTGAACTACACTTCATTTTCAAACTGATTAGGCTACATATACATATTCATTTAAGATCAGCTTAGTTATACAGTTAATAGGATTAACTATTAACTGTATAGCTAATAGTTATACAGTTAATATAACTGTATAACTAAGTTATACAGTTAATAGGATTAACTGTATAACTACTAGCTGAGGAATCAGTTTAGGAAGTGAGAACAAGAAAGTGGCTCAGTCAGATTTTGCTAAGGCTAGTTTAGCACAGCTGTTGGCTAGGAGTATTTTTTCAGATTCTATTATGTCACTTTATTTTAAAGTTGTTGTTTTTTTCTGGTAACAATCACATGTTTCTTAATTAGTCACCAAACTTTATTTTCAGTTTGCACAAGGCTTTGAAGAAGAGAAAATGTTAAGATTCTCATATGTTGTACAAACTGGTCTAAATCACTTTTCATGATAAAGAAAATGCACTTGTGGAACTAAATCACAAACTCTTCAGAGGTTAGAATTCATGACTTTACTTTTTTTAATTTGTTACTTAAAATATTTTTTTGGGGGTGATGTAATGTCAGTGACTGATAAAAGAATAAATAAATAGATGTTCAATATATCATATTTGGACTGGTTACTTGTAGCTCTCCTACACCCATCATCACAAACACTCACATACACATGAATTTGCATTTCAGTCTTTATTGGAACTTTCTATTAACTTGAGTGGCCTAATCCAAACCCTAACCTTGCCCAGTACTGGTATACATCTCAGTCTACAGGTGAAGATATACAGTGATGTGTGTGTTGTAGCTACTGCACTGCTTTTTAATTTCCACTTAGCCTGACTAGTGGACAAATCACATAAGTCATCCGATATTAAAACTAGACTGTTGTGCATGTAAGGGTTACCATACTTATTAAGGTATGAGATTCAACTCATTTATATTCATATATATACATATATATGATTCATATGATATTGTGGCTTACAAAAATATTCAAACACATTGAATTTTTTCTGATTTTGTTACATTATGACCACAGTGTATTCTATTGGAATATTTGCATTATCCAGTACCATCAATACTAAACAACCTTGTGATGCAATGACTGCTGCAAGTCTTTTAGGGATATGTCTCTACCAGATTTGAATGTCAACAAATTTTTCAAATTTGTCTTCACAAAATAACATGAAGTGGACATATCATGCTTTAAAGTCCTTCCTTTTCATATGTAAATCATTCACTTATGGTTTATATAAAATAGAACGGCAATGCTTTGGTCTGAATTCCTCATTTTTGTAGCTCCACAGAGTCCTCGTTTATCCCTGGCCTGAGGCCAGAGCAATTCGTTGTGCTGCGTTTCTCTTTTTATGTGAATGACAGATTTCATGCCCTGCTTACTATTATTATATTGGGTTTTTTTGCTTTTCAGTAAAACTTGCTATTAATTTGATCAGACACTATAAAGGGGGCCCTGCGACAGACTGGCGACCTGTCCAGGGTGTACCCCGCCTCTCGCCCGGAACGTTAGCTGGAGATAGGCACCAGCACCCCTCCCGACCCCACTGAGGGACAAGGGTGTTCAGAAAATGGATGGATGGATGGATGGACTATAAAGGGGGTGAATAAAAATGTCAATAGATGCAATCACTTATTTTATGTTACATTTCATTTAATATTTTTATTTGTTCTTGTTATGTTGAAATCTGTTTTAACTTTGACATTAATGGATGCTTTTCTATTTATTTTTCACAATTGATTTGTGAAAGCAATAAAAAGGGTAAAACATTCAAGAAGGTGAATAGATTTTACAGACACTGTAACCTCAGTTAAAATAAATACGCAGTTTCAACCCAATCAATCACAACATGCTGTTTTATAAACTAGAATATAATGTCTGAGAATTGGTGCTGAATTGGATTGAAAAAAAAAAAAAAAACACAGGACAAACAGGAGGCCATTTGTGCTTAAGAGTGATTATAAATCAGTTCTTAAATCACAAATACTGTATTCCTTCCTACTATTATGAAAACATTTTGTGCTTATTCCTGTGAAGGGTGAGTGAGGAATAGTTTCAGTGTAGTGTATGTTGGTGAACTTTTTTTTAATTTAAACCTGGTCATACCTTGTTGTTTTGTCCAGTCATGATTCAAGTAAACTAATAAATTAAGTGAAATTTGAAGGGTTTTAAAACGTTGGTATTTTTGATCATGTTTAATTTTTGCATTTCCTACCACTAACACGAGTGAAAGTATAACAACTTCTACAATTGTGAAAATGCCCTTTCATGACGATAGTCACTTTTTAACAGTCGTTTTAAATATTTATTGTAGATTCATCAAAACACTGCGTCGGCTGAACACAACAACCAATAGCATATCAAGAGTGAAGAGGGTCACGCCCTTTCTTTACCCATCATGCGTTTCGGGTGGTTTACTTTGCTATTGAAATAGAAAAAATATTTATATATTATCAACATTTATTATAATATTAAACCAGAAAACTAGTAGTTTTATTAACGTTGTGAGGCACCACCAATTTTCATGATTATATATTTTGACGTCAGGGGTAACATTGAAACTCTAAGTGAAACAGATAATCCCAGTGATCATATAGACGTGGTCAGAACCAGCTCATACTAAAAAGGGCTTCTGTCGTGATTGACACAGGGAGGGTGAGGGAGTCTCATCCTCTTTGCGGAATCGCCATCAAGAGATTTCGGAAGCATAATTTTTAAAATCTGAGGCTGCTAGTAACCATTTGTTCTGGCGCCTCCTCAATGTATTTTAAGAAACTCATGCCAAGCTTCACTTTATGTGATGATGTTAGTGCTAACGCAGTTAGGTTTATTTCTGTTGCGAATGAAATCAAAGATTTTATCGGAACCTGTAGATTGACTGACACAATCCCGTAAATAAGGGTATAAAACGTAGCAGATCACCAGACTTAACAATCTGTCCATTTGCATGAATGTGTTATATTGTGGGAATCGTTCAGTCCCGTCTGATCAAGTGACTTTCTGACATTGTTGCCTTTCGCAAGTAAGCTTAAAACAGGGCGAGCGCTGTTTAGCAGGAAGTACGGCTACAAGAGGCAAGTACGCATGCGCCGAAGCTCCCCACAATCTAGGGATGTGTTTGTCTTCATAAAACGGTAAGGACGGGCCTTTTTCCACAATGTGAATTTTAATATATATTACTGCAGAGTAACATTGTTCCAGCGACACAAACGGTGATTTTAGCCGCAGAGGTTAGCTTAAATCGCGGAAGGGGGTTCAGTCAGCCAGCCTCTCGCAGAATGGAGGGGCAACGCCGCCGTCGCCGTGCCGTTGTTTGCTGTACGTGCCGCCGCACAGGGAGACGTCATTTTGAGGGGGAGCGGAGAGTTAAAATGCAGAGTTACGAGGGGACGTACGGTTCATAGACAAGCGGCACGTAGCCGTCACACTTTAAATGCAAAGGTTTACCCGTCTCGGACGGTAGAGTTCTGTACTATTGTCCAGCTTCCTACATATGAAACGACGCTGCTGCATTAGCTGTAATGGCTACCACCAAACTGAGACTGTGTAGCTCGGTGGTTCTAAACGACTCACATTTGGGTTTGGTTTTTGAGGCGATGACAGCCCGACAACTTCTGGAGCTACAAGTCTTGATATTTAACTAGAACGAATAGCTTTAGGTGTCGTGTGGCCTTAGAGATCGAACGAAAATAGTCAAATTTCCCCTCACTTGGAGCTAAACTGCGATTTTATAACCCCCACCCCCCGCTGCGCATGGAGAACCCACTACCCACGCGCGTTCAAACTGACATGTTAAAGTTTTAAAGTTAAATGCAGTATATCGCTATTTAACATCTTGTCCTTTGGTTTAAACAGCCATAGGGCTGTTTAGACAATGTTTATGGACAATATGAAACTAAACTCAAGAAATAATACGCTTTTAGTATTAGAAGCTATGACCTCATTTTGGGCCAGTCGAACGTCACAACTAATATCTTCTCAAGGACGGTTTTATGGAAAGGCGACACAGACTTTGTCAAAGTATATATGGAGGAGTCAACGTGAAGCTTTCAAACCTCAGAACACTACCAGCTAGTGTCAGTATCACGCTGTGAGGCTGTTGGATTGAACAATTATTCAGAAAGACTACCTCCAAATTCCTAAAAGTAGCCTGTGTAGATTAGGGGGAAACACACAAATGAGTTAGAACATGAAACGTTCTAATAATTGTTGGAATTTTGTCCTTTCACCCTGGTAAAAGAGGGTTTCAAATAAAACATTAAAAAGTCCAGAAAACCCTAAACACTTAAGATATATGTTCAACATGCTAACAAAGCGACTATATTTGACCTTACTAACTAAGATATTGATTGGCTCAACTTGATTTTCAAGGTGGTTGAATTATTCCTAGGAGCAATACATTAATATGGATTTAAACTACTGTTAATTTCACTGCAATTAACAAACATACACATTCAAAAGCTAACCATTATATTCTTGATACTTATTGATTAAACTTTAAGATTTTAGAGTACATGCATGGTGATATTCGTATTGCTTGAACCTTTCAAAGTTTTATCATCTTACAACCATAAACTTGACAGTATTTATTGGCATTTTTATGACCAGCCCAAATGGTTTTTTTGTTAGTTTGTTTTTTTAAAGCTCTTTGTTGAGGAAGCAGCAGCAGGCCTTTGAGTTAGAATGTTTCATAAATTTGCACATCTGAGTAAATCGGATTAAATCTTTTTGCAAAAAACTTCAAGCTTGGTTAAATTGGATAGATCTTTGGCACAGATTCACAATCTGGACTTTGCATTTTAGTACATCCCTAAAGTGTGATTCAGATCCCTTTTTGCTGAGACCTGTCTGTGCAACCAGCTGCCTTCAGAAACCACCTCAGTCACAAAGACTTCATGTGTTTGTAATGTAATCTGAGTAGACAACAGTAGAGAACAACCAGCATCTTGAAGACCCAAGTCTGGATTTCAACATGGATGACTGAGTAAAGTGTATACTGTATGTTGGGCCTCCATTACAGATGTTGCACAAATGCTGCCACCCACTCTAGTGTTCTGTTGTGAGAGCAATGGCAAACACAAATGAGGTGACGGTGTCTGTGGGGGACATGGTGATGGTGAAGAATGAGGATGAAGGTGATTCAGATGACCCCAATAAGACTCAGGTCATCCTGCAGCTCCAGCCAATCAGCACTGGGTATGTACTACTACCAGGATTCTTATGAAATCTACATTCCCATTCAGAACTATAGACTGCCTTAAAGCCGTCAACATGCACAAGTTGGTCATGATACTGTGTTCCATAGTGAAGATATGTGAATTGTCTTCTTCTGTAGCGATGAGTCAGCTGAAACCGATGCAGCTGTTATGGCTGTGGAAGCTCAATCAGGTGAGAGGTTGTCAAAATAATTTATGTCCAGGAAAAATGGCACAGATGTTTTTGTCTCTACAAGTGTGTTTGTTTCTTTCCTACAGAGCAGACAGAGGGGGATGATGTTGAAATTGGCTGTCCTATAACCTGTGGTGATTGTAAAGCTGTGTTGCTTGTGAAAAAATTTGTGTGCCCTGGAATCAACGTGAAATGTGTTAAGGTATATCG